GGGCTAGACATTTAACGTTATACAAAAATATTATTGAACTGATAATGCAATACATATAATTTTAATATTTTGTAGGGTATATAATAATTTTATCATATTATAATAATATACTTTGTTCATATAAACATATTGTGTATTCTGAAAAATGATTTGCATTAGATTAAAGATTGTATTTAAATTCTCAAGGAAAAATGTTCTGGCCGCGCAAACCCAATATTGTTAGACTATATATGCATATACCATGAATTTCTTTCAAAATTCCTAAAAAATGGTACATATATTATAATATATATATTATATTAATAATATATTTTTTTATAAATATTATATATATTATTTTGGAATATCATATGCGTAAAGATATTTAAGAGAACAGGTCTCCTTAGATATGTATATATATGTGTATTAATTTGAGGAAAAATATTTCGAGTAAGAAAATAATATTATACATATGTATATAAATAGATTGATAGATATATGTGAAGATCACTTAAAGAAACATAATCTATGTTATTGTTGATAAATATATAATTTAATATGAATTCTATATACATAGATCTGTGCTTCTATCTGATGCAACTTGCATTTAATATTTATGCATTTTTAGTGACGTTTTCCCAGTTTATTGAATTAGCCAGCATTAAAAGATAATATTGAATTATTGAATTTAATTTACGTAATTTATGTTTACACTTGACGGTTTTATGGATACTAACTTCGATGTACAGAGCTATCACTTGGAGCATTGTTTCCTTACCGTAATCTAAGAGCAATGCTGGCAGCTGGGCTAAAAGCTGCAACTTAACCTGCGAACTTGGCCAAGACTCCTCGTTTTTTCCCTTGCCTTGGCAACGGCGCCGAGTTTGTTATTCACGCAAATCCTTTAATGCCATTTATCATACAAGGTGCGCACATCTGAAATGCATGCAAAATATAACGCGTCCTGGCTGATCTCTGGCAAAACAACATTAAATTGAAACAAATTGAACATAAAAAGCGTTCAAAATAAAGCAAACACCTCGACGGAGGCGAAGGCGAAGGCGAAGCCAAACAACACACAGAAAAGGGGCCAGAGCACCAAGAGGACCAGGAGTTACAGAGGTAGAAGGTAGAAGCCGAGCAGAACCAAAATCAGAGGCGAAACTAGGACGAGGAACGAGTGCGAGTACGAGGTGCTGCCAAAGTAAATACAGGAGTCCAAAACACACACACACACACGTATATATGTATATGTAGACAAGCTAGTGGCAAAAGTTGCTCGGAGAGATGGTGTTGGGCTAGAGGGGGGTACGACTTGTTGGTTGGATTACTTTGGTAGTTTGAAAATAGAACGCAAAATCAAGCAAAGGTACACAGCACAGACCAAATGGAAGACGAAGGCAGGGCGAGCCGGAGCAGGGGCGGAGGGTTAGTCGATAGACGAGACACTGACAGACTGGCTGGGAAGGAAACGGAAGTATTTTCTGTTGATACTGAACTCAATTTAGACGAAATCAAGTCAAACATGGCACCCAGAGAGTGCGGCGGGGGCGACCAAAGAGTAGCGCAAAATGCTGTACTAAATCATGTGGGAGCCAAAGGTAAATGCTGGAGCTGGGTGCCAATGCTATGCATTTGGCGTGTGTCCAAAAGAATGCTCAAGACGATGTCGAGGCGCTGCCACACACCACCTACCAAGTGCCTTGGCTTGACAAATAAAAAAAAACACACACACACAGAAAAAAGAAAAGAAAATAAAAGAAGAGGAAGAAAAGAACTTGAGGCTTGATTGATGTTTGTGCTTCTAGTTGTTGTTTGCAGACAGGACAGGAGCAATCCGAACACCGAACTCGGGGCATTCAATTTTCGATTAAAGTCTCGCTCGCTGGCAACAAATTGGTTTGCCCATTTGGTTCCAATGGTCGCACTAATCAGTCGCATGTCCAAATATTTATGCCCAACCTCCGATTCCGGCTCCGACTCCGAGTGAGTCTCTGAGTACGGGTGTCAAGCAACAGACAATGAAACCGGGCCGAACCAAGAAAGTGAAAGTCAGCGCAAAGGATAAGCAAAGAATAGTGCAAGACTAGCAAATAGGATGTTGTTATGTTTCCATTATCCCGCTGTATACCTCGTAAAAACTATATATTCTATTGGGTGGGCCAAGCAAGATTCAGGAATACTCTACCGTCTTCATAGGGAGAAGCATACTCGAGAGTGATTAGAGGCATGAATTTGTATAAATGTCGAGAACATCAAACTTATAATACAAGATATAATTCAAACTGGGATCCCAAAAATATTTGTTAATTGTAAAAG